ACAAAAAAAAAGATATTTCCCCCCTTTCAAATTCAAATTTGAAAAGTCTATTTAACGTTGTCATAATGCAATGAAATTTGGCGTGGTGAACAAATCGACAATTCTGAACAGATTTGTTTTTCATATTACAGCGTAACATCACGCATTTAGCCGTAATAACACGTAAAACAAAGGCAAAACTCGGTATTTTGAGGGGGGAACTGGAAAAGAGCCGAGATTTGTACAATGATATTTACTGTATACATGCAAATCAGAAGAATACCGTTAAAACATTCAAGACTTGACTTACAAGGTTTTGAGGAGGGCTAGATTACGATATTAATATTTTCAGCAGTTAAATGTTCATTAGAAGTGAATAGACCAACAAATCATTTTGGGAAAAAGTGGGCATGTTAAGTACTATAGTTGGTGGTTTTGCGGGAAATACTTCATTTTTTGATTTTTTTACTTACTTTATTGCTTGAAATTTTAAAACCAAATATGTAGCTATTACTGATATTTTGGTTTAATTCTTACGCTTCTATGCTGTTTTTATCAATTTTGGTCTTTTTCAATAAAACAAGGCCAGGTAATAAAAAATCTTTCCAATTCGGATTTTTATGTCAAAAATTAAGCAAAAAAAGTTTTTAAGGTGCACATGAATTGTACAATATTTGGGTATTTTTACATATTCCGCCCAAAAATCATCATCTTGAACTGAAACTTTTTTGCTTCAATCTGAAGGTCTGAACAGCTGGAATTAGCCAATAAAATTTCAGTACCATCTCAATATGTCTTAATCACAATTTTAAGACGAATTATAAACAAACCGAGGTGGCCTAAAATGAGGAAAATTTGGTAAACTACCTAAATTTATTTTAGATACGCTCCAGAAGTTTGCCCAGTGGAGAAAAAACACAAAAAAACAGGTCCAGAGAAAAACAATTTCATATCTGCTCAAATTCGGCCTTGTTAGGGGTCGGTTTAAGAATAAAGTAATCGCATTTGTAATAACCAAATCAATTAGTGCTATCAATTTGTTTTTCTCAGCATTTATACATAAAAAATTATAAAATCGGAAAATTAAGAAGTTCAGGCTGAATAAGTAAAAAGACTCCTTTTATCAAAGAAAGCAAAGAAACTTTGAAAGTTTTCCGGCATTTTTGAAGGTATCTAAACATCCAATCTAGACGAATACACCCTAAGAAACTTATACAATGGCTCCGGCAGCTCAACAGAGGAAATGATTTTTTTGTGTAACCTTGACTAAGTGGGTGCAATCGAGTTTGAAAACCAAGCGTTCTGGAGAATTCTCATTTCTTTTTTTTTCAGAAAATCTTGAATTAAACTTCAAAAAAAACTCTTTTGAAATCTTAGTAAATCTTGCAAGGAACATCGCCCTTCTTCTTCGAACATCGTCAATAATCTTTTTTAAAAAATTACGTTATCTTTGGCTTCTTCTATCAAGTTTCCTTGAACTATCTTGGAGAAATTTTGATATCTTGCAATAGTCTTTGGCAAGAACTTGCCAAGACAGCCATGATGTTCTTTAAGTTTTAACCAAGGTTCTTCGAGAGTTTTTAAAGATAGCAAAGATGAATGGATTTGGGTACATTTCCCACATGTTCTACTTTTGTTCGGATTAAAATGGGTATAGTCGGATATGGAAGAAATCTGAAACTCGATCAAGGAGACTCTATGAAATTATTGGAAGATCTCCGAAACGATGTAACAGTTTTTCCGCATTGCAAATTGACATAACGTTCCATATTCAGTTTCTTTCAAACGTTTCATTATCATATTATCTTTTTATAAGTTATCATTTTCCGTTTTCATGCGGCAATAATATTGAGCAATTTGGTAAAAACTCGCGAAGAAAACAAGTAATTAATTAAATTAGTTCAGCCAATTGTTTATTTTTATTTAAAACCAAAATTTATTATTGCTCTGCAATGAAAGTGAAGGCATATTAAAAGAGTATTTTAAAAATTATCGATGCAATAAACCACAAAACTTCAAAAAGCGGTATCTTTTTTTTCTAAAAAAAATTTCAAATAAAACTTTAAGGTAAATGGTGCTATTTTTTATTCATACTTTTGATCAAATTGATCAGTGTCTCAGATGGGTTTTTTAACGGGGGATCAAATTTGGAGAACCGGCATCTAGAAACTTTTATCAATGATTCAGTCTCTGCTCAGCGTCATTATGTTCATGAGCATGAGAATTTTTTTCTGATTTAGCGCTGAAAAAACATTGATGTAGAACCGCTGGGAACGTTGTTGAATCTTTTCTGTTTTTAACTGCAACAAAAAGTTTTCATTCCTGGATTTTTTATGATTAGTGAATAAGTTATTACAGCACCATAGACGCACTATTAATAGGTTGAGAAGTCTTAAGCTAAAAACTCGGCCCATCAAAATCAAATCGATAGACACTGTTTAAATTGAATACAGATGAAAGCAAAAAAAATGTAAAATTCTTTGTCAAAATCAATACTTGAAATTGGATGCGATTTTTTTTGGCACATCACTATAACTACCGTTTTTGGTTACGAGAACGTTGATTGTTTATTCTGAGCTCCAGCTGGGGATTTTTTTTCACAACCCAGCTGTTTCAGGACAACAGATTGCTCTGTAAAACATTTCTAAAAAAAAATCGTTCAAAACGGTGACACCTAGAAATCAGTCGGCACAAATCATACTTCTGCCAAAAAAATGCTTTTAAAAGCGTCACAATGACTTTTACAGGCCTCGGATTCTTTTTTGTCTATTCTAGTCAATTTGTTTAAAATGGGGATAGTTTTTGAAGATTTTGCCAAGCTATTAATCAGAAAAACCGTTTCCAGGTAAAATAAAACACTCGGAAGAAACTTTTAGTTTACCACTAAAACTTTGAAAACAAAAGATTTCAGTTAAAAGAGGTGATCAGCTCGTACATTAATACACTATAATTAACCTTGAAAAATTTGTACTTTAAATTTTTAGCAATAATTTAGCTTTGTTTCATCTCAAGGGAAAATTGTACTTCATAGCTTTGATTCGTCAATGAAAAATTGCTAAATCATCAATGTTGGTGACCTTGAGAAAATTATTGGTCAAAAAAATGATTTTATTAGGGAAATTAGGTTTTTCGATATGGCTTTTTACGCGCTCAAATGAAAGAAAGACAATTTTAACTACAAAAAATTAGCAGTTTTAGTTTACCCGGGTCGATATATAGATAGATAGATAGATATATATCTATATATTTTTCATTTGAGTGCGTAAAAAGCGTTATCGAAAAATCTAACTAACCTAATAAAACCATTTTTTGTCCGACAATGTGCTCAATGTCACCGATAATGTCAACAATTTAGCATCAACTTCAATTGCTCATCAAAAAATACGCCCAATTTTTTTCAGCGATGCTTTCGCTGTTTCTCATTTCTCATCGATGACTCAGAGCTGAAAAAAAAACAAATTTTTGATGCCAAAGAAACATCATACTATAAAGCTGAAAACTTAAAGTAAAAAATTTCCAACTTATATAATGGTACCAAATGTACGTACTAGTCACCTGCTTTAACCGAAGTTTTATGTTCTCAAAATTTTGGTGATGCTTTAACTATTTTTTCTACAGGTGGTGTCTTGTCTTAGCTGGAAACGGTTGTTCTAACGAATAAGGAAACCGGAATGTCCAAGAGATGCAAAAAAAATGAGATCAAAGTTGTTGCAGTTTTACAAAAATTTAAGTTACAAATAACCAAATAAATTTTGAAAGAGTTCTGAGATATTAACCAAAAAACATAAACTATAATGTTGAAACGTAGATAACCAAGAATAATTCAAAGTCAAAACATACACAAATTCGGTCTAGAGTGTCGAAACATATCTCGCTTGGGCGAGCACGGTTGAGCACAATCTTTCCAGTTGAGCAGGATCAAAACATATCTTGCTAGCGTCGAGCACGGTTGTGCAGCATAATTTTTTCGGTCGAGCACGGTTGATACATACCCACATTTGGCCGATACGGTCAATTTATTGAGTTAGCACTTCGACCCGGGCAAACTAAAACCGCTAAATTTTGTAGTTAAAAATTAGTTTTCTTTCATTTGTGCGCGTAAAAAGCCATATCGTAAAATCTAATTTACCTAATAAAATCATTTTTTGACCAATAATTTTCTCAAGGTCACCAACATTGATGATTTAGCAATTTTTCATTGACGATTCAAAGCTATGAAGTACAATTGTCCCTAGCGATGAAACAGCTAAATTATTGCTGAAAATTTAAAGTACGAATTTTTCAAGGTTAATTACATAAGCAGTTTTAGGTTAAATTCAGACTCGTTGGACCAGAAGTATAATGCCAACAATTTGGTAATATTTAAAATTCAGCGTGTATCTATGTAAGAACACTGGACCATACATGAAAATGTACTTAAAACTGTTTTTTTTTTGAATAATTCATTAACGATTTCTGACTTTTTGAAAACTTTTGATTAATGACAATCAAAGGGAGATTAACAAGGGTCTCCTGCTACATGACAAAACACAATCGATTGTAGCTCCTGGAACTCAGGTTGTATCAATATCTTTCAGATAAATTGAACAAAACTTTTAGAAAGGCTAAACCGTTGAGAAATCTCAAGACGCGAAAACTTGAAATAAGAAAGCTTCGTCAATTGTTCACAAAAGGCAGACGAAAGTGAACTTACGATATGCACAGAGCAAAAACTTAAAGTGTTTGCTGTCTGGTTCTCTTAAGTTCAGTATTGAGATTTGGAGTCATTAAATAATTTTCAAATTTATGATAATTTTCATTGAATAACTTTCTTCAAAAGTGCCCGATCTCCCCTCTCCCTCATTTACCCCTCCCCCCCCCCCTCTCTTTCCCTCCCCCTCCCTTCACAATCCGCTATTGAAAGACTTAATGAATCTATCACAATAACTGAAGAGCGTTTTATCGAAGTTTGTGAACAATTATTTCAATTAGAAGCACATGTTTTACGCTCAATTAAACGAAAAATTGTGAGAGGCCTCGTCTTATACGTTTATGGCCAGCTGCGTAAATTTTGATTAAATAGTGAACATAAAACTCAAATGGTCGCAGCATCACTTCAATACATAATGATCATTTGTTATTTATATTTTTAGTTTTACCAGACAATAAACTGTTATTAAAAATAATTTGATATTTTTTTACCCAACTAAACGATCTTTTACTTTTTGCACCAAAATAACAGATCACAGTTATGTGAACTTTTTTCCTTTTTAGTTTTAAGTTAACTTGCTTTACTCTTTTGGATTTTAACAACAAACGTTTTAAATTAGAATGTACGCAGAATCCCAAGAAGACAACACTTATGGTTTGATGAGCTCGATTTTAGAAGATCCCAGATCCTCTCAAACACAACCGGCTCCGAGTTCTCACGAGAAGCAACTTGAAAGTCTTGAAGGTCAGCTGGAACATTCGTCTGAAAACAACTCTAACTTTAACGATGCTGTTGATGATGTTGGTTATCGCGGATTGGACATTGATGATGACGGAACCAGTTTGGAGCAAACAATTTCTCGAAGTGAACAGTCAAACAAACAAGTAAGTCTTAATCGAATATATGGAAAAGAAGTATTAAGTCAGGTTTTTGAAAATTTCAAGTAGAGTTATAAAAGATTAAACACTTCAATTACTGGCATAAAAGTTTGAAAATTTATTTTAAAAAATAAAATAAATATAAAAGGTATAGACAGAAAGCAAAAACTTTTTGAGAATTCATTCCAATGCCAAGTTGGTGAATAAAACCTGCAAAAAAGCCAGCAACATTTTTACGCGATGACTGAATTCGAGATTAAAATAAAATAAATCGGATGCCAGTAAAATTATTATTATTTAGTCGCGCTTTTTATTATTTATTTTTCTTTTATTATTTATTTTTCTTTATTATAATTCTTCTTCAAAAATATGGCTCGTCAGCGAGAGTTAACATCGGTAAAAATTGCATGTCACGCAAACGTTTTCGTGTGCTGCAAACGCGTTTACCTTCAAATCATGTGAAATTCCCAGACAGCTTCTCTTTCAAATTTTGTGTTGATCAGAACTTAAAAAGTAAATTTATAATACTTTTTTTTGGGTTTTTCTCAAAAGTTACAAAAAATAAAAGGAAACTCGAGCAAAAAACTTTTCCGAAATACAGCTCATTAGGACTATCAGTTTTCATAACTAAATTAACTTCGAAAATTTTTTTCATTGAAGTATGTTGCAGTCAAAATGGGAAGTGCGGAGTACAAAAATTTGTTCAAAACCATTCGAAAACTGTTTGATAAATTATTTCGCTCAAACTTTTTCAATGATGCTTTTCTACTGATCAATTTTTTTATTAGTTCAATAAACGTAGCGTAAGAAAGTATTTTGAAATATTTGAATTTCAATTGAATCACGACTCAAGTGCTGTATTATGGTATGACAATCAAGACTATCTAAGTTTTGTTTTGGTACACAATTTGCGTGAGAAAACTAGAAGAAAAAAAAACTAGAACCAATAAACTTTTTTTAACAAGTGGGTCGTTTAATCGTGAAGTGGGGTTTTCGTGTTCGTTTTCTTATCATTTTTTTTGGCAGCTTGTGTATCCAAGCAAAATCTAGATGGGTTTGATTGTCATCACACCAATTAAAGCGTTTGAATCTAGATTCAGTCAGCATTAAATTTTTTCTAAATACTTTCTCATCGGCAAGAAAACCATTTAAAAATTACATCAAGCAAGCGGAGAGCTTCATTGACTGGTCAAGCTGATAAAAATCATTTCTGAATCACAAATTGTCGAAAGTTTTTGTTAGTTATTTTCTTTTTTTTGCAAAACTAACATTAGTCAATTGAAGACCTTACTACTGATTCAAGCTTATTTTTAGTCCCTTTCCAATACCAAGAAATGAAATTGGGGTTAGAAAACTTCATTACAAATTTTACTTTTTGTCAGCTAATGATTGTGTTTTCTTTACCTTTCAATTGTTTTTAGTCAAATTGGTTTAACAAGGGTTAGTTAAAACAATACGGTTGAAGATTGAATACAACTTGTTTCTAGTTCGCATAAATAGGACACTGAACTAGAGGTCAACACATAGCAGACTAGACAGACCTAGACTGATTGACAGGCAGGTACCAAATTCACACTTAGTCATAATATGAGAACTCTCAAGAATATAAATAAAGATGGATGGCAACTAAATTGATTGACATCTAAATATGTAGCCCTCACATTTCCGTACAGATGTAAAATTTAAATACATAGTAATTTAAAGTTAATATAATAAGTAGTGACCTTTCAACCTGCCGCCGTAACTAACGCATCAGAACTTTAACTTTGAATTTTTAGGCTTATGGCCATCCCTATCCATGAGTTATGAGTTTTAATGAGTTTTAAGGTCTACTTGTTCCCTTCCCCTGGATAATTCCACTTTTTCTCCGCCCCTTGGATATTGTCTATCATCACTCCTCCCATTTTGTCGACTGGCTTCCTTCTTCTTGTGCTCTTTCGTGTTCCCGAGCTTTTGCTTTGGCTACCTGATTCTCCTTCTTCCTCTTGGCTGCTGTTTGTAGGACACTCTCTTGCAACTAACGCCGGTCTGTCCTGATTCCCTTTTCCTCGTTTCACTTTTGTAGGTTTAGCTCTCACCCCCGTTCCCGTTCCGTGTTCCTCCTGATTTGTTCTGCCACTTGGTCCTTGTCTCGCCGCAATTGCTTCCTGCCTTTCAGAAATATCGAGTGGTAGTCGTGCTGGTAAAGTTTTTAATGGCTGGTAATCATCGCTGTCCGAGCTTTCAGATTGATTTGTGGCTATAGGTGCTGGCTGTTTTGCTTTAGGCCGCTTTGACTTTGGGCTTTCTATTGCCCCTTTTTTCGCACTTGCGAGCATTTCTTTGAGTGTGGCCGGCTTTCGTTTCTTTGGCAGGGTCTTCTTCGGTTTTACTGCCACGGCACTTTTCCTAAGCACAGACCCATTTTTCAGCTTGATGGTATGTTTAGACTCGCAAATTACAACCTAACTGTTTTAAGAGCCGCTAAAGCATCGATCGGCGTCGTTTTACATTTCAAAGGCGTCACTCCCGTTTCTGTTATACGATGGCCGAGCCATTCGCATTCTCGCTTTGCGAACTCGCACATAGGTAGTTTTAGTGAGATAATTTCGCGATTCAATTTTCGAAGGATGTTTTCAACCAAGGATATGTGTTCCACCTCTGTTCCCTTGGTTGTAACCAAAATATCATCAACGAAAGCGTTCGCTTGAGGGAATTTGTTTAAAATTGTGTCCATTACCCGTTGGAACTCTGCTGGCATCGACGTTAGCCCGTAAAAACCTGTTCGAAATCGGTACGTTCCTTTCGACCGTCCGGCCACCAATGAGAAATTACAATTTACACTTGTTTCTTCACTGGGTGGTAGTTGTCCATACGCGTACGTTAAATCCATTGTGGTAAAGCACACCTCCCTTTGTTTTTTCTCGGAAATAAGTTGTCCTATTGTATCTACAAGTTCTTCTATGTTGGGCATTTGGTACATGATTTTGTGCACCTGTTGATTGAGTTCCCGAGATTCCAACGCTAATTTCACGGACCCGTCCTTTTTCACGGTGATAACAATCGGAGAAACAAAATATCGACCCGAACATTCCTTTAATTTTTCTATGTAATTTGGGCCAGTAGCTTATCGATCTCTTCATCCACTTTGTCTTGGAGCGTTACCGGCACTCTCCGGCCCTTTTGCTGCACCGGTACGAGATTTTCGAAAAACTCCGCTTGGACCTTGTAATTTCTAATTTTTCCAATCCTAGTGAAAATTTTGGGAATAGCTGGCTAAAATATTGTTGCCAGGGGTCCATTTCCTTCTCACATGTACTGTTTTCCATTCCTTGGATATTCATCACTGCTCCCCTTGGATCTGCTTGCATCAACTGTAGCCCGAGTTTCCCCATCAGGTCACGTCCCACGATTGATGGTCTGGACCTTCCGATGACTCTAACTTCCGCTCTCGTCTTCCAGCCGTTTGATGCTAACTCAACCTCCATTCCCCCCACATTTTGATCCGATTGTGGCTGTAGTCCCGAAATTCGTCATCTTCCATGTTGTCTTGTTTCAAGTTGATTCCTGTTCTTCCCACTGTTTTCTTCAAGTCGTCGAGTGTTAGTAAGGATATCGGTGATCCGCTGTCAATCCAGATGCTCATTGGGTGTCCATTAATGTAGATTTTACTTTTAGGCCCGGCAACTTTCAATAGTGTCTCCTTTCTACGTTTAATCGCCATAACCATATAGTCATCTGAACTCTCCGATGACCAGCTGTGGTGTTCTCTCTTGACAAAACCTAATGAATTTGCAGCATTCTGTGACCCAACATCATCCGAGGGAGTATCCTCTTTGTCGAACGGTTCGTCCCCTTGGATTAGTCCAACTGGTTGTCCCCACGTGACAGCTGTTTTCCCCGACAAGTCTTATCAAAATGCCCGACCTTTTTGCAGAAATTGCATGTGACGGCTCTTGCTGGGCCTCGTTGTCGGTGTTCTGGAGTGAAATTCGGCTGATCACAGTTGTAACATCTACGTTCTTGCATTCGGCCTCCTCACCGATTCTGGTATTGTCCCCGTCCCCTTTGTATTCCTCGTCCCCTGTATCCACGAATATTACTGATTGGTTCCGCCTTGATCTGTAGAGAACCCCCTGCGGTTGTGTAGGCCGTTCCCGTGGAACCTGGTGCACTTCCCTTGTAAGCCTTTGCGTATTTGTCGCCTCTTTCATACGATATTGCGATCCGTAGTGCTTCCTCCGGGGTTTCCGTTTCCCGGCACAGCTCGTTCTGTGCGTCCCTATTCCGCATATTAAATATAAATATGTCTCTCACCATTTTCCGATCTTGGGTACCCAGGTTGCATCTCGCAGCCATTCCGCTGAGCTCTGCGTAGAACGATTCTAAACTCTCTCCCTCTTTTTGCTTCCTGGACAACATTTGGTACATCTCACAAGTTTCATTTCGCTCTTTCTGGAAAAGAGCTACACATGTATCCAAGAGTCTCGGGTATCGTATTTCTTCCATAATCAAGTGTGGATGCTGGTTATGCAAGGCCCACTGTCCCTCGTGTCCTAGACATAGATACAGATTCGATATGAGCATGCGATCATCTTCTTCCCCCGGTTTTCCACCAACATCCCCCAGTCCGGTAATATGCCAGAATGCCACAATTCTAAGGGGGTTTTCCCCCTCCATCCGCTGGCTGCGCCATAACAAGGGTTAGTTAAAACAATACGGTTGAAGATTGAATTCAACTTGTTTCTAGTTCGCATAAATAAGACACTGAACTAGAAGTCAACACATAGCAGACTAGACAGACCTAGACTGATTGACAGGCAGGTACCAAATTCACACTTAGTCATAACATGAGAACTCTCAAGAATATAAATAATAATGGATAGCAACTAAATTGATTGACATCTAAATATGTAGCCCCTCACAGGTTTAAATTTGAAGTCAAATGAATACTGAAATAGAGTAGTCACCGCTACATGGTAGAATATAGAAAAAAGTATATACGGCTAACGACTGTGTTTGAACCGCTGTCTAGATAATGCTCGACTTTCAAGCGCTCGGACAGTTCAGTTCTGATCGGTCTATGAAACTACTGAATTCAGAGATCAGTAGATCTCTCCTGTGCTGTATAGAGTAGAAAAGGGGGGCTTATGGTCATAGAGTCGCCAGATGGATGCTTAAAAACGGTGCAGCCCTGAACTAATAACCCAAGCAAGGGTAGCCCTCGACTAATAATCTCGAAATGTTAGAAATTTGGTTTCATTTTCTTCATATACGCAAACTTGGGTGTTTTTTTTTTTAATTTTAATTATGAAGTGAGCAACTCTTTGTTGTTTATCTACCTCACAATTATTTCTGTAGGGTGAAAGTGGTCTCAATCGACCCAAGGAGCTAGACTTGGAATCAGTCTTGACTACCGACACAAGTTTCTGCATTCAAGAAAAGCAACCATCAAATCGCGCAGATGAGAATCCGTTCGCCGCATCTGATGTTTTAATCAATCATTTACTCGATGGTGGAACGGATAATTCAGCAAATCAGAGAACAGGTTACTCAATCGATGATGCAACTTCAAATGCATCAAATCACCATGAAAGTTATACCAGAAATGACGCAACCGACGTCAAGACTCATGTTACATCAGATGACGCAATGATGTCGTCGCAGGAAGTAGTTGAAAGTGAAGGCGGTAATGAAAATCACGAATCTTCAGTGACGGTTGACGGAAACGAAACAGACGAAGATGATGAGATTCCTGAGATCCCCGCCGAGCTGCGAAACAGATCCCCGAACATCGCAAATCTGCTGCAGAGGAGGCACAGTTTGGGCAGGTCGTCTCCGACCAAAATGATTTTCAGCAACGCAAATGACGACAACGAAAACAGGTAGATCACTTCATTTCAGTTTAAACATTCGAACGAAATTTTGTTCAAATAAAGATCGTCTGGTCCAGCGTTTAATTTGATTATAGAAGCGTGTAAAATTGTCAATTTTGTTATGCTGAAATTTCGATTTCAACTCAAAACCAAGTTCAAACGAATTTGAGGGAATATTAATTGATTCCATAAATGTTTTGGCAGTGAATTTCATGATATGCAGCTCATGCTCAAAAAATTGCAGCTAATTTTCTAAGATTACTTACTTTCGAGTCAGAAAATAATCATTGAGATACTTTTATAAATTGAGCTAATTAGTAAAAGTTTCAAAATTACTTTTAGTTTTTTATTTTTACTGATAAAGCTTCTAAGGATTTTTTAGGGCTGGGACACCTTGACCCGTAGTGAGTTTTCAATAAATGAAAAGCGGAACTTCTTTTTCACAAGCGATATATCAACTTCACACGTCCCTGTCAAAACATGAGGTTGAGCAGACACTTCAAATAGCCGGTGGATACTCATTGATTAAAACCAAAAGCTTCGAAACACCAAAATTCTGGATTCTTTCATTAATATTTTCAAAAAGTAGTGTTTTATTTTAACCATTTTGGGAGAAATCGGAAAATAATTTAAATCGATTTTAGAAAAACGCCATCATAAAATGCAATTTTTTGGTCAAAGCCTAGTAAAACTGCTCTAAAAAGTACTCAGCTCCCATCGCAAAAATCAAAGATCTTCGCCTCTTTAGAATTTTTCTAACTTCATTTTTTCTCGTGATTTTCTGCCCAATCCCCTTTTTCCCCTCTCGGTGTATCCTTGGTGTGTAACTTAGGAGGTGCTCTGCCAGCAACACTTCAGTGGGCGTGTTCATCAACGGCAAACTTTCCGGACACTCTGACCAGAGGAGCATCCTCACCAGTCACTATCTTGCAATCAACAGTCTGGGAGTACTATCCAGGTAACACCTGCAAAACCAACACTATATCTGCCCTCATCCCTCCCTCTCCCCCTTTTTTGTATTTTATTAACCAATCACTGGTCCTTTTATTTAGAGTGTGTTGATATCCGTTCCCCCACCTCACATAAGCTATCAATTTTATGCTGTAACGAGCTAACTTACAAGGTCAGGTGTGAGGACTAAATATGTAGGTCATAGCCTAATTGGTCAGCATGTCAACTTCCGTATTAATCAATAATGCCAACCGAAAAATTAATTATGAAAAATCACGGGTGGGAGGGGCTAGGAAAGAAAACCCTGGAAGTCAATTATTTTTTTTTAGTCAATTCCGCATTTTTCTCTTAATTATTCTCAGATTTCAAAAAAAAAATACTTCAAACGGTGGCGGGTTTATGTGGGACGGATCCCCTTCTCAAAGATTCGACACCGTGACGGCCGAAATGGGGGAAGGGAGGAGCGCGCGCCAAAAAAAACGCGAATTTTTGGTCTAAGCTTTTCCCGGAAAGTGCCTAAAACAAAAAACCTAAATTTTTTGGTCGCATTTTTTTTCCAAAATGTGCTATTTGTGGCCTGTTTTTAATTCAAAAATTCGTCTACGGCTTGGAAAATTTTGCCAAAAAATGGTCTTTGTAGCGATTTGAGTGAGCTCGGGATATCAATTTGGCCAATCTAAAAAAAATAATTTGATTTTTTAAAAGAAAATCGCTTTTAAAAAAACCGCAAAGGTAGCTTTTTAATGTACGCAGTTGCTATTTTAAGGCTATCCTTTTTTCCAGGAAATATCTGAAGTAATGTGCTGGTTTATTCGTTTAATTGTAAGAGTTTGGTGTCAGAATTTTCAATCAACCTTACAATTCAGTTTTATTTGCGCGGTTGTACGAAATGCATATTTTAAACAGAATTATTTTTCACTACATGCTTGGATAAGGCATTCTACGATAGGCCACTTAGGGGGGAGATTGTACGGTTGATCCAAAATTTTCAAGCAGACGGCTCAATGGCATTTAAATTACAGTTTACTGACAACAATTTAAACCATAAGTTTGATGTTTTTTACATAAATGGGTGCAGGGTATGATCTACAGTTTTTTTAAAATTAGGTTTTTCATCTAGGCCAAAACCCATCGGATTTTTTATGGCCGCAGGCAGCAGCATCACGTTTAAGAGCAATTTTAGTAGTAAAAAAGACGAAAAAAATTGCAGTATTCTTTCAACGTACTCATGTGAGAGTGAACACTTTTCACTCGTTCAAATGTTGAGCTGGCAATACCTGTCCCGGTTTTGAGACTCTTTCAATCTAATTAAAACTGCTCATGCTAAGAAAGGGGCTAAGTCTTTTACCAGACCGACCTTTCATCAGATCGACCTTTACCAGGACCACAATGCAATAACTCAATTAGTATAACTTGAAATTATTGGAAGACTTCGAAAGGAAGCGGCTAGAACAAACAAAACTTTGCTGAGAAACCCTGAAATCATTGTCTTATAGAAAATTGCTATTCATACACTTTTCATGCAATTCTATAAGTACAGAAAACTGCATGAAAAGTCTATGGCTAGTCATTTTTTATATATGGAAATTGTACGACTAGCGTTTTTCCATAAACCAAAAAAAAATGATTTTTTTTAAAATTTTATTTCTCAAAATTTTTGGTGTGTGTTCCCGACCGAACACAAGTGACAAAAACTATGGTTTACTCAAAACTAGAGTCACCAAAGGTTTGATCGTCTTGCATTTACAACGTATTGGAAACGACCTGAAGTAGGGAAGTGTGTGTACTCTTCACAAATCATATATTGAAAGCATCAATCTTTTAAATTTTGGCAGAAATTCAAAGATGATTAATTTTTAAATTATCAGACCTTGATCAAGGCACATATAAACATGCCATGCAAAAAAAGCAGGAGTTTCTAGCCTGTTTGAAAAAGTTTTCTAGAAAAATGGAATAAAAATCCAAATTTTTTGTATCCAGGATTACGTTATGCAGACAAAAAATATACAACTTGCATGCAAATTTCTTTTTTTGTAAAATGTTTTTTGAGTACTAAATTCGATTTGCAGTTGAAAAAAAAACAAAAAATATATGGGGCAATTTCAATATTATTTCGAAAAAATTTTGTTGTCGCCATCCAAAAAATGGTATTGATACAATTTCCATATATGGAATTTGTATGATTAGCTTTTTTGACAAATTTTTTTTTAGTGCGATACGCTGACTTTTATGACAAAACAAGCAAAAAGTTCATTGAAAAGTCGATGACATCATTTTATCGAAAGGTAGGAAATTTGTATTAGTATTTTTTCATAGACTTATTTTATTAGTTTTCATAGGCAGGAAAAACAGAAATAAATTAGCTCTAAATATCACAAATGAAGCTTCAAAAGGATTCTAAGCAGTTCAAGGTTTTGACGTCTTCTTTTAAATGTTTCTTCCCAAGAGATTTTTGGAGCTTGCCTGCAGACACTGGGATGGTTTTCAGAGAAGAGTGTTGAGGTGGAGTTTCGTCGACTGCTTTGATAGCGTGCTTGGCCGGGCTACCGAAACATAGCGTTTGAAGCTTGTTGCGTCCAGATGCTCTCGAAGAAACCGCCAAAACGTTGTCTTATTCGTCGTCTTTGACCTGATCTGACGACTTGTTGGAAGAAGACACTAAGGGTTTTGAAACCGGTATGAGAGGCGGTCGGCTTGTCTTGTTCCGAGGATATCGGTATGCTTTTCTGGCTTTGGCGTTTTTGACTTCTTCTGATTATGTGCTGGTACATCCACTCACTGGTCGAAAAGTGACAAACTTTGAAACGGGGGAGGAAGGAACTCGCCTGAGCTGAACGAAGATACGGTCGATTCAACAACTGGTACGGTTTTGGTCACTATCCTTTGAAAATTCAAGTTGATGTGTTGAAAAAGGGGAGTTTGTTTGGAAGTTGCTGTCAAGTCTCGTCTATATGCGGTGTTTGGCGGGCACAAGTTGTTATGGTCCGACGACAATGATGACTGCTGATGGGCTCTCTTGCTTAGAATTTTCCAACTGATAGGTTTTGAAGAAATCTGTTTGCGTTAAATTTTTCAATTAGTAATTTATTATAGCGTAACAGAAATGTGTTTTTTTGTTTTGTTCTGAATAACTTTCCATTTTAGTGTGAAAAATGTGTTTTTGGTAATTTCAGATCTTTTATCCTTAATCATTTTTGATAGGGGTTTTACCAGATTTACGGTCAAGGACCTTCCTGAAAAATTCAACCCAATGGGCTTGGGTTCAGATAATAAAATGTCTTCCAATTGTTTGTCAGTTTCACATCGGCTGGTTGATCAGCATCGACCAAAAGCTGAAAGAGCCAGATTTCAAGTTGTTTCATAGAGATGAGGCCAGTAATATCTTTCGTTTGGATAAGGTCATCAGCGATAGAACTCCTTCATCTTTCAAAAAAGTCTGCCTCATCGGTGTCTTACTTAGGCTTGCTGTTTTAGCGAGTGGCTCAAGGGTCTTTTACTGAATCTTTTCTGCAATGAATGTAGACTTAACCTAAAATGAGGGTCTGGCATCAGTGCTATCTTCGTTTTCATGCACAATTTTCACTAAAAACTCTTTAGTGTTTTCTGCTGTTAAAGGCCAACCTTTATTTGGTTTTCTAACGATTTGAATTCGAAAATAGAGGCGTTCGTCACTGAAAGTTTCGCATTTTTCAACTGTTCAATGATTGTTGGAGCTTTTTGAATATCTAGAGGGCTTTCTTCTAACTGCATAGCACCAAATATACGTTTCAAGGTAGAGTTTTGACGAGACCCCATTCTCTATGGTCCCCCAAACAGCCAAATATGAGATTAATACCATTTTCTTTGCAGATTTTTGAACCTAAATTGATATAAAAACCTGGATATTGAACGGATCGAATGATTTTAGCAAAGGAGTGGGTAGATATTTAAAAAGACATGAATTTTGTGATCTGTTTACACAAATTATGTTTGCAGTAATCTTTCGACGTATAAACACAGTTGAAAGTAAAAACTCTTCACTTATTCAAATGTCACGCGCTCGGAATACGTGTCCCGACCTTGATAATTCATAATCTGCCAGAAAAAATTAATGCTAAGTGCAATACGCTGTGCCGTACCACAATAGCACGCTTCCGCAGCAGCACGCTTCCACTAAGTCAGCCAAACCAGGATGTCATAAAATGGCACTAAAATGATGTTGGGTGGGAAAGGAAAAGTAGGTGTCTCCCACGTCTGATCCCTCTTTGTAGATTCCACTACCGTCTAAGAGTGACAGAAGTGCCTGACTGTGTGGCAGCCCTGGCCAATGGGGAGATCATTGTGGCCGACAATCACAGTGACGTCAGGAGACTGAAGATGTTCGACTGCAACCAGAGGTACCAGAGGGCACTTCCACTAGTCTCAGAGGAACACACCTTCCCGTAAGAGACATCATTCAGCTCTATTTAAATAACCCCTCCCCCACCCCCACCACATACACTCACTTACACTTACGGTACCTAGAAACGAGTTACGGTTCCGAAACACGCGCACAGGGACGGATTTAGGGAGGGGCGGAGGGAGGCGTACGCTTCCCCTCTCAGGTATTCGACCCCTTGCCGACCCAAAGGGTCCCCTCTTTGTACTATTTTGAGATATCCATTTTTGGTGACTGACCCTAAAATTTTTCTTTAGGCGCCTTCAGCGCCAGTATATACTAATTTTGAGGGGGGGGGGGGGGGGGAGCGCGCGCCGAAAAATTGGGACTTTTTTTGTTGAAATTTTCCAAAAAGTGCCCAAAAACACATTTTTTTCGGCCTGTTTTTTTCAAAAACTTTTGATTTTGCTCGTGTTGTGATGAGAGTATCTGAGTTCATGCACAGAACTTTGGCATATTCAAAAGTAGTTTTAAGGTAATCATATTCGCATATTTCACTAGTTTTTTTTCAAAAACTGAACAGAAAAACAGAAAATCAGAAAAAATTCAATTTTTTTCTAAGTTTTCCAGTTTTTTTGGATTTCTTCAAATTTCTACTCTCAAAAAAGCGCTAAATGAAACTTCGTTAAATATTTTTTGGAGTAAATCTAAGTTTTCAAAGCTTACATAAAAGCCTATCGCCCTAACGATTGAACCATTCTGCTGATTATTCGGGGTTGCGTGAAATCCAATTTGCGTGAAAACAAAAACTTAGAAAAGACGTTAGAAATTTTAGGGAAGTTTTTTGTTGTACTCTAAGAATCCAAACGGATTTTAGAATGGTTTTATTCATTTAAAAGTTTTTTAAAATCAAGCTTGGATCTAGGATATTGTCAAAATCTGAAGACGAGTTTTTTTAAATTCAATTAATTCATTAACTATTCCATTGCCTTAATCATTGACTTAAAATTCAGCATTTGATTCCCGAGTTAAGAATTTTGCGCCATCTGCTTAGCTCAACGACCAGAGCTAAATTAGTTTTGATCTCGAGATCGAAACTAATTTAGCTATGGTCGTTGAGCTAAGCAGGGTGAGCGAAATTCTTAACTCGAGAATCAAATGCTGATTGGAGAAGAAAACATTTCCATACTTATTAATTAATTTAGTCAAATTACATCGGCATACTTGCACCCAGGAGAAAATCATCAAAACTTTGCACCCACATAAAATATGAGATGAAACTATGATCATATTCGATGTGGGTGCAAAGTTTTGATAATTTTCTCCTGGGTGCAAGTGTGCCGATGTAAATTGACTCAATTAGTTAAATATTATGATAATGTTTTGCTCTCGTAGGAATGAGCCGTTCGTGACAGACATCCAGCTGTCCAACAATGACTGCCACCTGTGGGTGGTGGACAGTTTCAACCAGACAGTGAGGGAAGTGGACCTCACCTCAGGCCATACACTACAACTATGGACCAATGAGAGGCTTGAGAGAGGCCATGAGTTGATCAGACCTGGCAAACTGGCCATCAGTCCGGAGTGGGTGTATGTGTGCGATGCAGGTGACATAATAATTTTTATGATTTTTTTGAGAGTTTCAGCCTGTAATTTAAATTTTAAAAGAGAGTGTTCCAGCAGCGACGTATTTAGGGAGGGGGAAGGCTTCCATTGAAATTGACTATCATAAAAACGAAAGGCGAGACTTCTCATTCATCTAATCTAATCTGATTGTAAGTTTTTTATATACTAAGTTTTTTTTTTCAAATCAAATCTACAAAAAAAATGTAAAACTATCAAATAATGTTTTCAATCAGGGGCGGGTTTAAGCGGGGGAACTGAGTAATCTTTCTCCCCGGGATCTTAGCAGTTCAACGCAGCTCATGAATCTTTTGGATTTTCTTAACCAACTAGCCGAAAGTTTTAGAAATATATTCTTTTTTACAATAGAGCTCAATGTTTTGTCTCAAATAATTCAAAAAAAGTCCAAAAAAATATATCGTTTTTTAGCCATTAACTTGTGGCGCCGAATTTGTTTGAGCACATCAGAAGCTTTTTAGTGCTTTCAGAATGTTCAGAAAATCAATCAACGCAAATCCACCCCTTCGCCAAAAAGTCTTAGGTTCAACCCTGGGGTAAATTTTTAAGAACCTCTTGAAACACTTGACTTCAATTGACGTTTAAACAAGGTAGATAGATTTATTGCGTCGGTAAACCCGAATTGAAAAATACTTTTGGTTATCCAAAGAAGAAATTCTTTTTTGTTGAGTAAAAAATAGCATTTTACTACTTCAGGTGACGAAACTGTGAAGACATTTGACAGGTTTAACGGACAATTCTTATTTAAATTCAAAATCGGAACAAACGATCAAGACAAACGAGGTCTTATTTCTAATCATGCAGAATCTTCCCGTGAAAGCATTACATATAACGACGACGACTGTGGATGTCCCTGGTCCATACATTGGACTATGGACGAGACTTTGCTTGTGGGGGACATTAGACATGACTTTGTCTACATTGTGGACAAGCGGGGTCAGAAATTGGGTTGTTTTGGAGGCAGTGGGTGGGGACCCAACAGGTTCAACGGGCCAGTCGCAATTTGTTCAGACGGAGACGGAAATGTTGCAATTGCTGACTCTAAGGTAAGAGTCTTAAAGAAGGAAATCGTAAAAACACATAAGACTATCGTGCATTTTAGATAAGTTACTACTTAACAGAAAGTTATCAGCGGCATTTTAACAGGTCGAATCACCTTCTGCGTTTGCTCAATTTGGTGATAAGTTCAGTCATAAATTCTTTTCGCTTTTGAAAATAAATTTATTAGGATCTCTTTATACAGAAGCAATTCAATGGTTAAGCATGTGAGAGTTCTGTACCTAGTAACAAATCTCCCCATTTTGCAAAGGTGGGGGGGGGGCACCTTTGCAAAAGGTGAAGATTCGTTACTAGATGCAAAAATCTCATATGCTTAACCATTGAATTACTTCTGTATAGGGTTGGCAATTCGGTACTAGGTACCTTAGGGCAGAAATAAACAATGAGATCCGTTTTAATTATGATTATCATCAGGGCAGATTGGACTTATGGTACGACTGTTGATTTCCTTCTCCAAATGAGACCTCTATTATAAGTGCATCTGTTTTAGAATGGGCGAGTGCAGATGTTCACGCGTGACATGATGCTGATCACGCACATATTCCCGGTAGAGGAGGGCGATGACGTCACCTCCATTGCCTTGACTGCAGATGGGATGCTGGCAGTGATAGACCACCACACCAACCAGTGCCTCATTTTCTGATCACTCAACAAAACCGCACGAATTAAAACACAAAAAAAAACAATCAGAACAACATATATTACTACATGTATAACTAACAATATGTTTCATATCGAGATAATATATTTCGGATCTTGTTAACTATTCGCCCCCTTTTTGCAAAAAGGGGACAAATTCGTTACAAGGTGCAAAAATCGTATTTGCTCAACAAGTTCAACTCTTTCTTTATCAGGGCGCCAATTCGTTACAAGGTAAACATGGGATGAAATAGTTAAAAAGATCAAATATTTCGAATCCTGAGCGGGTGTTCGTTATTTTTTTCCTCCTAAAAACGACATATTTAGGTGTAGAGGAACTATACAGGGCTGCATTTTCCACCAGGATTTTTTGGTATAAATCCAAGACTGACACCAAATCCGTTGCCTTTGGTGCATTCCGAAGAAACAATTTTGAACAAGAAGAAAAAAAATTCTTATGAAGTTCAGTTTTATTTGACTTTGATCGTAAAAAGTGAAAAAAAATTTGTTCCAACCCAGGGCCGAATCTAGGTTTTTCTCGAGGGGGGGGACGAACTTTCAAAAAAAAATTAGAACATTTTGACAAATTTTTTTTTATTTCGACAAAATAGATTTTCCGAGCTCTTCTAAAGCCTTAAAAAGACAGTAATTTGGCCAAATTTTATGCGCAGCAGGCAAATTTTTGAAAGAAAATTTTAGGGTCAGTCACCAAAAATGAATTTCTTAAAAAGTACTTAAGGGAGGACCCTTTGGGTCGGCAGGGGGTCGAATCGCTGAGGGTGGGCCCTAAATCCGCCCCTGATCTCCACCCATTTCAAGAAAGACTATTTCCCCCCTATGGTACCTTGTAACGAATACCGCCCCACCTATAAAAAAAAAGAATTGAACAGTTAAGCATTGCGAATTTTGTACCTTGTTAACTATTTCTATCCCTATTTCACTAAGGGGAAAATAGTTAACAAGATTCGATTTTTCGACCAATCAGAATGCAGCAAAATTAGAATTCTCATTTCTCATTAAATTTCTCAGAAGGTCAGTGCTAATTAACTGTATTTATTTGTAGGGGTGGATACCATAGAGCGGAGGCGTTGTTAAGTAGATCCCATAATAAAGCAGCTTTTCAGGAGAACGTTTAAACCGAAAACGTTCTACAAAAAAAAAACGTTTTTAGGCACTTTTTGGAAAATTTTGATTAAAAATCGCGTTTTTTTTAGCGTGCGCTCCCCCTCAAAGTTAGTATATATTGACGTCGAAGGTGCCTTTAGAAAAAATTTAGGTTCAGTTGGCCAAAAATGGATTTCTTAAAAAGTACCAAAGGGGGGGGACACTTTGGGTCGGTAGGGGGTCGAATCCCTAAGAGAAGGCGTCCGCAACCCCCCTCTCCGCCCCCCCTAAATCCACCCCTGTTGCGACCATTGGAAGTGGGGAGAAACTACAGAGTTTGGAGTTTTCCATTATTTTTTGAAAATTTCCCGAAAAAACTGCCCACCGATTCACGTTTATAATTTAATTGAAAAAACATGGTGCACAGGTTTTTTCTGCACAAACGGTCACATCATGTTTGTGAAGCAAAACCAGCATGGCCTTATAAAAAGACTTTTTTTATGAACTATTTAAGTTTTACAAAAAATTTCCCTGCCACATATGATATTAAGTTTAATTGATAAAACTTTTGGCAGGCATTTTCTTTGTATGAACGGCTAACACCTTATTTAAGAAGAAAAACACTTATTCTGGGTATAAGACAATTCTGGGATTCTGGGTATAAGACAAATTCTGAAAATTTGAAAATTACGCATTTCAAGTACAGCAAATTCTAGAAAACTTACACTGCTTAAGCTGGGTCCCTAGTTTGATGTACAAACTGTCATACATTAACGCCGTTTTTACTTTTTCAGGCAACTTCAGCCTATCGTTATTTTTTTCTTCCAGTTAAACAGGCAAGGGGTAAACGATGTATAAAAGACCAAATAATAAAGATTGAAAAGTGGAATGCAACATTTTATGAAGCCTAAAAACCTAATACGTAGCAACTGCACTAAACAGGAAATGCGATAACTTTGAGAAAAAATTGTATATACCATGACTATTCTCTCGGAAAAATTCATTACAATCGATTATAATTGATTATAATGGGTTATTTTGCCTCGAAAGCAAGTTTCATTTTCTTTCAAAAATAATTGATTATAATCAATTATAATCGATTATATTGGATTTCATTGATTAGAAAAATAGCTTCATTATAATCCATTTTTAATCGATTATAATCGATTATTATCAAAATTTATTGAGACAGACCACGAAAATTCAATATAATCGATTATTATCCATGGAACTTCGGTGCGGGATATCTACAATATAATGCTAATGAAAATTGTCTTAAATTTGAATTTAATTCTTTTATTTGTTAAAACGATCGCAAATTTATTTTGTAAAATTTATTAAAGCTTTCGTAGAAAAAAAAACATTTTTCAAAAAAAAATAGCTTCATGTGTATCTTCGGAGCCAGTTTTTTTGTACGACAATATTCATTTATTTGAGTATTTAGATAGTCTGAATTAAAATAAGCTGGTATCATAAGTTTTCAATTTTCCAGAGGGGAATGACAATTTTCAGACTACGACAAAATTAATCTATAATTTTTTTATTTTACTTACAAAACTGAAGAAAAACTGTACTTGGGACTGTTATAGCAAATTTTTCAGCCAATCTATATACTATATTTAAATGCTAGTGACAGATATCTCCCATGGTTAAGCTTGATAATTTTGCATGTTTAACGAAAGAGTTTTTTCATGTTTAAGCTTTATCATATATTGCAATGCTTAAGAAAAATTTCAGTTAGTTTTCCGCAAGATCATCAATTTTTCAGTAGTTTTTTCGAGGCCAAATTAAGTCTGTCTGTCTGTCTGAATACCTGCTTTTTTAATTAATTTGATTATGTCTGTCTACCCGTCTCCTAATTTTCCGCAAGGTCATCAATTTTTCAGTTATTTTTTTCGAGACCAAATTAAGTCTGTCTGAATACCTGCTTTTTTAATTTTATTTGATTGTCTGTCTACCCGTCTCCTAATTTTTCAACTTTGAATTTGGTTTTGACGATTTAGTTCAAAATACTACTACTGTCAAACGGCTGTTCCAATCTCTCCTTATCTTTATCTGGATTTTGTTTTATTTTTTGGATCTTTTTTTCAATTCAGAACACTCAAATTACAAGAACATGAATTTCCAGTCCCGGTAGTTGGGTGCTGTCAGAGTACTCTCAAGGATTGCAAATCTTGCCTCCAAATGAGACGACTCAAATCCTTGTAGCTTTCGAGATATCACGTTTTTCAGAAAAATTGATTTGAACTTTGTATTCAAAGTTTGAAAATCTTTACCCTGTTTTCGGATGCTGTCAGGGTATTCTCATGAGATGCGAATCTTGCCTTTAAATTTGACTGCTTAAATCCTTGTAGTTTTCGAGATATGACGTTTTTTGTGATTTTTTAAAAACATTTCAGAAAAATTAACGATTTTTTTTTCTTCAAAATTTGAAATTCCCAACCCTATAATTGGAGGCTATCATAGTACTCTCACGTATTGCGAATCTTGCCTCCAATTTCAACTGCTCAAATCCTTGTATATTTCGGTAATGCCTTTTTTGCGATTTTTTGAAAAAAGTTTCAAAAAGTTTAAATTACATTTTTTTTTCGAAATTTGAAATTCCTTATTCTGTCACTTTCTATTGTCTCGGTATGCTTTTGCTTCAAAACTAGGCTGATTCATTATGATAGATCTAGTATATATTAAATGTAACTCCGAATGCGCTGTGGACGCAATAATTATTTGAACGCAATGTTTTAGCTTTGTCGATTGCAATGTTTAAAAAATTCTTAAGAATGTACTAGAACTTTCAATCTTTCTTAAGTCTGGAATATTCTAGAATTGTTTTTGGCAAAAACTCAATTCTCTAGACAAAATGAACTCAATTCATTTTCAAGGCTAGACAGTGCCTGTCCATTTTTTGCCGAAATTTGCGTTCTTAGCTTGATTTCATTCTGAATCAAACCAACTAAAAAGAGCAACCTTCTTGCTAGAAAAACTAGCTGTTTTCAAACCGATTTGCACTATGCATTGTTTTGAAAATTTTTAATGTTTCATTGCTTGCATAGCTTGCTTAAAAAAAACATAAACTTTTCGCCAATCGATTTGCTCTGTGGAAACTTGAGATAATTCAAGGTTTCATCAAATGAACAGCGTGCTCAGAAGTGTTTCAAGTTATTTCATAGACCATATCGTTTTGCCAGAAGCTTGAGTTTTAAAAAGTGTTCGAGATCTTAAGCAAACTTTCGGCACACCGATTTGTCCTTTGAAATAAGTTGAAATATTCAAAACTTAAGAGTTTTAATAGCTCGATTAGATAAGATTAGGCTTTTCGCAACTTCAAAAGTAGAAAACTTCACTTTTTTGTGATGCGATTCAATCTATGGAATAACTTAAAATAATTCGAAATTGCATAGCTTTAAAAGCTTGCACAGAAAAACTTCACCTTTTCGCGAACCGATTCAGTCTATAAAATAACCTGAAAAAATTCGAAATTTCTTAGCTTTAAAAGCTTGCTTGGAAAAATTTCAACTTTTCGCGACCCGATTTTCTCTTTGCAATAAGTTGAAATATTCAAAATTTAAGAGTTTTTATAGCTCGATTAGATAAGATTAGGTTTTTCGCAACTTCAAAAGTAGAAAAACATTAACTTTTCGAAAACTGATTTGCTCTATGAAATAAGTTTTCGGTTGAGTGACCCCGAAAGAGACTTTTCGCCATCCAATTCTCTGCATAAAAACGTTTCGTGAACTGATTTTTTCCATAAAATAACTTGAAATAATACAAATTTTCATAGCTTAAAGCGCTTGCTCAAGAGAAACCTAAGCTTTTTGTGAACCGATTTGGTCTAAGAAATAAGGTGAAGCGTTTCAAAGCTTAAGCCAACTAGCTAGCATAACAAATCGTTTTTCTGCCAATCTATTTGATCTATTCAAATATCTATCAAATATAAAGTTGTATAGCCTGAATAGCGTGCTTAGAAAAACTCCAATTTTTCGGGAACCGGTCCGTTTTATGAAATCTCAAGTCTTTCAAACGGATTTACGATATGGCTCAACTTGAAATTGTTCAAAGTTTCAATGCTTGGATAGCTTGATCAAAACAACAACTATTTTTTGCAAGCAAATCGAATATTGGATGCGGGCTTGCTAGTTCAATTGATTTCCGAGGAAAATTACCAGTATTAATTGCTCAAGGCACGGGTATTCTTTCGCAGCAATTTGTTTTTTTGAGGAATTAATATGTTTTATTGCCCGAGCCAGTTTTTAGTATAGTCTTACAGCCAACTCAATTGTTAATTGTTTTTGAGAAAAACTACTAGTTTTATTGGCTCAAGACAACGGTTCTCATTTTAAACAACCCGGTATTTTTGAGAGATTGTTATTTTTAATACACCAAGCCATTTTTAGTATGTTTTTTGTTGTTGATCATTTAAGGTTTGATTGTTTACACCTCCAAGATACTTAACAATTGATTTTTTTTCATAACTTTTCTTTTTTAGATGAATGAAAATTATTTTTTTTCTTAGTTTTATTGCTTTATTGATTATTGTGATTTTCATTTTTTAGCGTTCCATTTTAGTGAAAAGGTTTTGTAGTATCTTGGCAGAACTTCACAGTTTGTTTAAACTGTTTTTTGGGTTGTTTTTTCAACAAAATGTGTGGAATCATCAGTGTTTTGACTGACTTTGCAATAAGATTATAGTTCGTTTTTCAGATCGGTTTTGTGTAATCCAAAGATAAGTGATCCAAGGAATGAGTGATTTGTGGACTGTACCTTGCAGAATGCTGAGTTAGAACCGATGTGGTTAACTCATAGAGTAATTTCGGATAGGGTACACCGTCTGCTCGTCACGCTATATTATTTTCGGCCGGATAGATTCGTTCAACTTCTTAGTCTAATACCGATCCTAGTCTTACTCTTATACTTTCTAGTCTCAGGGTGTTTAACTAGTCTCTGCTAGGCTCAATAGATCT